TAAAGCCCGCAGAAACCAGTAAAAGTGTAAAACCAAACCCAACAAAGCGGCCCCGACATTGCGAAACCAGAAAACCAGTGGTGGTAAAAGCCCAAGGGTTGCGCCGCCTGTTTTACGCGTGGAATCAGCACCCGAATCCAAAGCCCTCCAGAAAAAGCGTCACGTGCGGCCCCGTGACTGCCACTATATTCTATTATTCTCTCCTAAAACTCTCCAACATAATCAGCGGTAATCCAGACGCTTCCCAACTTTATCCTACGAATCACTGAAAAAGTAGTAATAAAAAAGTCCGCTTTACTCTTCTGCCTGAGAGCGAGAATCATGGAAACCACCGGCAGCACGACGATGAAGGTGGTCACCGGAGACGCTGGTTACGTGCTTGAAGACGTTCCTCACTTGAGCGATTACATTCCTGATCTCCCTGTACTTTCGTCCGACTCCGATCGTCGTTTCTCTTTCTTCGCACTTATGTTGATGCATTGACGATTTTATTATGAAATGTAGAATTCGATCGACTGATGTAGAACTGCATGCAGATCTTGTTTTATTCGATTGATTTGATCGCTTTTGAATCTATGAAGATGCAAATGTTTCCTTTGAATGTTTCTTTAGGATTTAATGTTTTTCTTTACTGTATTGTATTTCGGTTTTTTGTGGATCATTAATGTGATTGAAGAGATCTGATTATTTTATGGCTTTGATTATGAATCGTGATCAATTATCGAAACTATTGACATAAACATAGACTACTTGCACTTTATGTTTTATCAAATATGTATTGAAAAATCATTTCATGGTGGTTGTTTGTTGGCAGACTTATCCCAATCCGTTACAAGATAATCCTGCTTATTCAGTAGTCAAGTAAGTAAATCTTTTCTACTTACTGAACCTGTACTTTGTATCAGATTATCAGCTTCTGGTTATTACATGTTTTATGCCTGTCTCTGTCCTGTACTAGAGGGTGATCTTTTCATGGTTTTGTGCCTTCAGGCAGTATTTTGTGGACATGGATGATACTGTCCCACAGAAGGTGAATATTGCTGTTTATGTTCTATGGATTGAATTTTACACCTTATGATTTTTTGGGTAGATCAACTTTGTGATTCAATAAAAGATATATTGGTTATGTTACTATGCTGGGATATTCAATGGAAAACCTTGCTGCTTGCCAGTGTGGAAAAAGGGGTTTGAATTTTACATCATCTTGACATCTATGCCAAGTTTAAGCCTGAAGTGTTAAAAGCCGAGTCTTTCATGGCCTGTTGAAAAAAACTTGAGCCAAGGAAAAAACTTGCTTTTAACATTTGAAGGTTACACTTCCCAAAGATGTCAAGATGATGTAAAATTTCAAACTATTACCCTCTGTTCCACACTAGTGCCTTATCATTGAGCTTAAACAGGTATGCCAGCTTACATAATCAGATGGTTAACTGAGACTTTTTTTTTTTTTTTTCTCAATTATTTATAGGTTGTTGTTCACAAGGATAGTCCAAGAGGGGTACACTTTCGACGTGCAGGACCTCGCCAGAAGGTTTGTTTCTCATCCTGTCTTAATGCAGAAATAAGCTACTTTGCTGACAAACTGACATCTTGCTTTGCAGGTGTATTTTGAATCAGATGAAGTGCATGCATGTATTGTAACATGTGGTGGACTATGTCCGGGACTCAACACAGTGATCAGGGAAATTGTGTGTGGCCTTTATCACATGTATGGTGTTAGCAGAATCCTTGGAATAGATGTGAGTGTTTAAGCTGTGTGTTTTCTCACATTTAATATTTCTAAATATCACTGGTGGTGGTACAGTAAATTATAACTGTGTTGATAATAGGCAACACTTTTAATTTAAAGTGTTCTATGTGATTGTAATCCTTGTTATTGCTATGTTATTAGTTATATTTTGCATTTCGATATTTCTTAAAAGATAATAACATGATCTAATCAATCTAGGACTTGCTTCATAATTCAGTGGTCTCACCAGCAAGTTATTCTTAATATATCTGTAGGGAGGATACAGGGGTTTTTATGCCAAAAATACTGTTACCTTAACACCCAAGGTTGTCAATGATATTCATAAACGCGGTGGTACGATCCTTGGGACATCAAGAGGAGGTCATGACAAGTCAAAGATAGTTGACAGCATTCAAGATCGTGGCATCAATCAGGTGAGTGAATGGCTGAGGCTTCTGTTTATGTTATCCCCTCTTTTGTTGTTTTTCAAATAAAGTATCTACTGTGCTTTGTAAATCTCTTTCTTTCCTTTTTTTGAATTACATTACTCCTGTTCGTTGGTTCTAATTGTTTGCTTTAGTGGCTCAGGTTTATATAATTGGGGGTGATGGAACTCAAAAGGGAGCTGCAGTTATCTACGAGGTAATTCTTTTTGGTAAACTAAGGAAGTATCTAACAAAAATATTGATTACAGATGATTGGTTTAGCCAAGGCTCTAGTAAGGATTTATCTAACGTGGCTTCTTAGAAATGTGATTTAATAAGATATTTATATGTTATCGTTGGACTCTGCAATTTTAAGGATTGAGCCATACTTTTAAGGAATTATCGTCAAAAGTCCTAGGCCATCTCTGATTATCTTATCTTCTCATTGCCTCTTCACTCATCCCTGAATTGTGTTTATTGCACCTCTCAATGCAAACAGCACTATGAATCATTCAATTCATGTGTGTGTTGTTGTAGAATGACTCAGCTTGCTCTGTGCAGGAAATTAGACGGCGTGGCCTCAAGGTTTCAGTTGTTGGGATTCCCAAGACCATTGATAATGACATCCCGGTAATTTCTGATCCGCATATCATTTGACATTCTGAAACAAAATTGTGCTTTGCCCTTTTTTTACTTGAAAAGCTTCCCTGATGTGCCATCTTATGCTGTATTCTCATTCTGGTTCAGGTAATCGACAAGTCTTTTGGCTTTGATACTGCGGTTGAGGAGGCTCAACGTGCCATTAATGCAGCACATGTTGAAGCTGAAAGCATTGAGAATGGAATTGGACTTGTAAAGCTAATGGGACGATATAGTGGTAAGCTTTTTGACATAGATCATAATGGTTGAAACTCTTGGAATTTTAGTAGAATAACATTGTTCAAAGTTTCACCAGTCAGGTTTCCAGAACTAGGCTTCATTAAGATGGAATTATTGGTGCAGGATTCATTGCAATGTATGCTACCCTTGCCAGTCGAGATGTTGATTGTTGTTTGATTCCAGAGTCACCTTTCTACCTTGAAGGAAAAGGTGGACTTTATGAATTTATTGAAAAACGACTCAAAGAAAATGGGCATATGGTTATTGTTATAGCTGAAGGAGCTGGACAGGATCTTCTCTCAGAGAATTTGCAGCCCCTGGACCAGAAAGATGCTTCAGGAAATAAACTTCTTCAAGATGTTGGGTTGTGTATTTCTCAGAAGATCAAGGTGCTAACTTTGAATATATCTACCATTCCCCTGTCCTTTGATTCATAGTTACCTGCTTCATGTTTATCCATGCATGCAATATAGGTCATTACTGCCTTTTGTTCACTTTTTGTAGGATCATTTTGCAAGACAGAATAAGATGAGCATTAATCTTAAATATATAGGTCAGCATCTCAATGTTCCTTTGGAATTCAACCAAGCTAGATGTGTAAAATATTTCTGATATAGAACCAAAGAGAATAAGAGGCCATTAATCAATTTTACTTAACCTATCTTGCAGATCCTACATACATGATCCGGGCTATTCCTAGTAATGCATCTGATAATGTCAACTGCACTCTCCTTGCTCAAAGTGCGGTTCATGGAGCAATGGCTGGATTTACGGGCCACACCGTTGGTCTTGTCAATGGCAGACATACTTATATTCCCTTCCATGTATATTCCTCAACTCCTAAATAAATCCTTTATTTGTGAAAGAGCCATTTAATTTTACAAAATTTATTCACTGAGAAGAGATTTAGAAGCTGAAAATGATCAATTTACTCTAGAAATCTGGTCTCTGGATTCATGTTGTAAGACGTAACTCTATTTGAGACTGAAAAGGGTCTGACAAAAAATGTTGTCTTTAGGGTTGTTCTAGTGTAGAGCCCATTTCGATCTCTTCTAGGTTCATCTTCTATGGAGAGAAGTTCCTAAATCAACTCAAAGCTAAAATGTTCTCTCCCAACTTTATTTTAACATTTAAATCGTTCTTTTTTCCTTTTTTATTTTTTCTCCCTAACTGAAATTTGTTGATCTAGAGAAAGAAATTTCCCATGATTTTACATGAAAGCTTATGTCAATAACCTTGTGTTGAAATTTGAATATGCAGCGGATCAATGAGAAGCAGAACAAAGTTGTGATTACTGACAGGATGTGGGCAAGATTGCTATCTTCAACCAACCAGCCAAGCTTCTTGGATCCCAAGGATATTGAACAAGCTAAGAAAGCGATAGAACCTGCAAATGGTTTGTTGGATGACGAACAAGCTAAGAAAGCAAAAGAACCTGCAAATGGTTTGTTGGATGACGAATGTCCTGAAGACAAATAATGATTTGACTTTTAAAGAAGTCATCCTGTGACATCATTTTAGCTATGTTTTTCTTTAAAGCCTGTGAAAATGGGATTTTAGGTTCTAGCTACCTTAAATATTATAAACCGTCAATACTCATTGAATAGCTACCTCTGGCATTTTCTTTTTCAGTAGGAAAATTCTGCTGCTTCTGTTGCTCAACGATCCTCTTAGGGATCCATGGAATTTGAATATCTACTTTTTAGTTATCCGTATGCTTGCACTCCTCATTTTATAGAGGCTTTAATAGTTTCTATTTTAATTCAAAAGACTAGTTATTATTTCTACAAAGATCGGAGATATATGCAATGACACATAATCTGATTATCTTCTTGTTTGAAACAATCCTTGCACTAATAATTTCACAAATTCACTGAAAACCCTAATTTCTTGTGACTTTTTAACAAGACCAGTCAGCATTGAATTCCATGACAGGCAAGAAAGCACAAGGTGAATCAAGCTCTATAGATGCCAGATGGATCAGCATTTTGTACAATCCAGGGATGCTCAAGAAGTTTATGCAGTGGCAGACGCTGTGAAGAATCCTTGACAAGCATCTGTGATTAAGGAAGAAAACAGACATTCAGGGGTATTCTTCTATTTAAAAATTTGAAGGAAAATGCCTTTATTTTAGCCCAAGAGAAACAGAAGTGGAAACCTGACTGATAAGGTCCTTTGCTGCAGAAGAGACAATTGGTTTAGGAGGGAACTTCAAATCTACTTGCATAATCCTGTTGATTTACAACACTTAAGTTAGAGATATCGACAATGCAGTCAAATGTATAGCTTCTGCAAGACGAGCACCACAGAAGCATACCGATTTCATTGGCAAATGAAAATAGAGCTTTAACACAGAAACCAACAAAATGGAACAAGAATGTTATCATTATCAATTACACATAGTTTCATCTCCCCTAAATTAAAAGACAAGATCTGCAGCTATAACAAGTAACCAACATTTTTCTGTTGCAGTTAATTATTACCTTCTGTATGTTTCAGAGTGTTCAATGGCCTCAAAAGGAGGGACTCCATAAAGAAACTCGTAGCATAATATCCCAAGGCTCCAGATATCGACACTAGCATCATGCTCCACGCTTTCAACTATTTAGAACAAAAGAAGTGAAATAAATTGAAAGTTGTCTCGGGTCCTTTTGTCCAAATACACAAAGAAATTGCATCATTTGATATGATGAATCAACATATTTCAGAAACTATAGGCTTGATGGAAGGCCTGCTGAAGACTGAAGTAATGAAATGACAGCTTATGTTCACTACAACAGGTGCCTTGGTTCCAATGGTTTTTTACATACCCATTTCAGGTGGAAGGTAGTCCAGCGTGCCACACATGGTCCGCCTACGGTTGAATGTGTGCACTGACCATCCAAAATCTGCAATCTTGAGCTCACCCTGGCCAAAGAATTTCAAACTGAGAAAATAAGCACCATACAAATTTTCCTCAATCCATGCACCAAAAAAAGAAACAAACATAGCCATTGATGTTGGTCATCACCTGTGCACCAACTAAGAGGTTCTCTGGTTTGATGTCTCTGTGTATTACATGATTTCCATGACAATAAATGAGGGCCCGAGCCAAGGAAGCAACATACTGCCACATGTACGATATACATTATGTCACTTGTGTGCTATATTCATATTCTTTTAAGGCAAACTAAGTTAGAAATATCAAATAATAATCACTAACAATATATCATAAAAACTACTCACTGTTGCCGCCCTTCTCTCACTGAAGTATTTGCACTTTTGTAGCTCCTTGTAGAGTTCCCCTTTGGCTGCATATTCTAGTACTAGATATACACGTTTCTGCATATTCCGGTTAAAATATGTCAATCCTCTCCACAATTTTCCAGTTGGCTACATATATTGAAGCATCTAAATCTAAAATACATAGACCCTAAAAGGTACATACATACCTGGTCATAGAAAAAACCATAGAGGCGCAATATATTTGGATGGCGTAGATGACTTTGAATTTCAACTTCCCGACGCAGTTGATGTTCAACCTGAGACTGCTGCAGCTGGCTCTTAAAGAGAACCTTTAAAGCCACTACATGATTGCTCTGTTTAAGCATAAGCACATGGCAAATTTGTTAGGCTTTTAACTACTATATAAACTTCTACAGATGGATTTTCATCTGAAACAGGTGAGGGATGCAAATTCATAATGCGCCTGTTTCCAGCTTTACAAATACAAATACCAGTTATATCTCCCATCTAAAAAGAATAGAAGCAAACATACCCTCTTTTCTCTTGCCAAATACACATGCCCAAACTTCCCCCGTCCAAGAGGCTTCCCAATGTCGAAATCATTAAGCGTCCATCTTTTCTTCTCTGCTGTTGAAACCTCCGAAGAAGCCTGTAAAGAATATCAATCACAAATTAAAAAAACCATCAGATTTGTTCCTACCTGCAAAGTAATTTTCGAAAGCTGCTAGGCAGCTAGCCTTAGTTTACCAAATTTATGGAAAGCTGCATATAAGATTTATCAAACTAGCTCAAAGTAAACCCTAGAAATTTAAAAAAAAAAAAAACACATTCTCACTTCAAAATTCCTTATCCTCTAGAAAAACAAAAGCAACGGATCTGTTAAAACCCTATTCATTTGTCGCGAACGGAGAAAAGCAGTCGGATCTGGAATAGCCTTATTGACAGCGGCCAAAGGCATTCTTTAGGTCGGAAATGCAAAAACACCGAAACAACTTCCATTGCCAGGCCTATATTAAACAGAATTTCTCGAATCTCCCCTCTATTTCGTAAGAACCAAACAGAACAAGAGGAAAGCAGCAAAGAACAGGAGAATCTCGATCTGTACCTTCTCCTGCTGTTGTTGTTGTTGCGCCTCTACGATCGCCATGGGAAAAAAAAACTCGGTTTTCTGGAGGGAAGAATAGAGAGGGAGAGGAAAGGGAATGATTTGAGGAAGGAAAAAAGACGGAGACAAAAAGGGGGGAAAGAAGGGGGTGGGGAGAACAACGGCAATTGACTCTCAACGGTCGAATTAGTGGAATTGACACGAGGGCGAATCTCGCTTGAGCCTTTTTCAAAATTTTTCTGTCTTCACTTCAGATTGGAAGGCTGGAAGGAGCGTCTCGAAAGAGAGAATCCAATGGTCTAGAACTAGAAGGTGGCTGAGCTGTCACCCACCTCAGATAGTGGGTCAAATTTTCAATTTCTTTTTGTTTTAATCTAATGGTGGGCTTATTGGGCCGAAAATCTATTGGTGGGACAATTTTTTTTTTTTTTTGGGTCATATCCTTGATTGAAATTTGAAGAGCAGTTGATGTCATTAGGATGAACTATGTTATAGTCCCTTGATTTCCACGGGCCTCCACACTACAGCGATCTGAAACCCTTACCAATTTTAGTAACTCTTAATAACTTGCAATATTTCTTACCATCTTTATTTTGTAGTTCGTATTACATGAAATTATAAAATAAAAATAATTAAATGTATAAAGAACTCATAATATTAAAAAGTTCACCATAATACAATGATAAGTATTGTGTAATATAAACTACACAATACTTTTTGCTATTCCCTGTATCATTGTCTTGTCTAACAAACAAATAGTCATGGACAACCAAAGTAACAACAACCTATTATTATTATTATTATTTATGACAAAGAAAAAGCCCCCCTCATTGCTTAGAGTTTAGAGAGAAAAAACTTCAAGTACAGTAATGAGACTTACAACTATTGTACACCAAACAAGTCATAGGTTTTATCTCAAGATTGTAACAATGTAAACTCGAATCAAAATAATCCCAAGTAAATTCTTTCCAAAAGAAATTATAAGAATGTAAAGAAATGTTGTTAGTTAAACACCTAAATAGCCTAATAGTAATCTCTTCCAGTAAAAAGTAAAAGGTATCAATCAAATATGTTAGTAGAATGAGTAGAGAGAAAGAAGATAGTACTTTCTTATTATACAAACTAAGGATTAAAAAAGGCATTCCTCTATGTGGCCACAATGGTGGTCACGCTTCTCTAAAGTGAAAAACA